AAACATGAGCTCACCCAAAAAAAAAAAAAAGGCCCATTGCTGCGCAGCCGCAGCAGGGTTCAGGGTCTTTTTCTCTTCTCTAGTGTTGAGAAAATTCCTCTTAATGAGAAACCCCGGGTGGTCCAGCCAGCCTCATGAGTCAAGTGTTTTTATCGTTGAAAATCCAGCGGATAAATCATGGGAGATCATATCTGCTACTCATGCGACCAACTGCATCCACCTAATTGGCGAATAGTCATAGCATAACCGTAAGTCTGATGTTTACTTTCAGAAAAAAAATGTCTGAAACATATTCAGCTTGTTCAACTGGTGCTGATACGATCGTATATGGATTGTTACTGCTGGCTGGTTTGGTGTGAGAGAAAAACATTATTTTGGCTGAAAATTAACGATCATTTACGACCAAGTGAACGTGCGGATTGCCTGTACTGTACCATCCACTTAATTATCCGATCCTTTTCTGGAATGAAGTGCACGCTCTTACCTACGTATATACCAAGAAAGTGATCAACCAAAATCTCAGGATGGTAGGAGCTTGTGCTAGGTTTCATTACAGTTCGACGACTACTGCACGAGAGAGAATGTTCAGACAAACTAAAGCTTGGCGTGGCATGATCGAGTTGATTTCTGGCGGTAGGTGGATATATGCGTTTTCACCGTTTTGGATCGTTGCGAGTTCTAAGTTTCAGCCAACACCTACCAAGAAAAGCGAAAAGGCAGCACTTTTCCCAGGATAGTTGGGAGAGACACCGGAAAATCCAATCGAAAGAGATCCGCTTTTACTACAAGCCATTCCAGTTTCCAGCTGTCTTTATAATTTCTCCTTAATGAAACATGTGCTGAGCACGTTCTCGAAAAAAAAAATCCAACTGTCTTTTCCCTGCTTCCCTGTGCCAATACGAGAACTGCGGTCACCATCGTCAGACCAGCTCAACGACGATCATCACCTCCTGAAAGCTTGCGCGGCAACAGTCTACTAGTAGTACTATAATGAAGTAAGCAAATGTGCAATGCCAAATTAACTGAAAGTCCGAAACTACAAACTCCAAAACGTTTGTATTGAACCTTGCAGAACCAAACGATGTATTTGGATTGAACCTTGCAGAACCAAACTACTAGTACAGGAGTAGAATGCAGGGAACCGATGAAATAAACATCTAATTTCTTTAACTTCAACAGAGACCCACAACTAAATAACCAACTGGGCAGCACACATGCGTTAATACCCGGTCTTTGCGGTCGCATCGCAGCTACATGGATCGTGGAGTTGCAGTCTACTCTCTATCCCTAAATATGTGTCGTTTGCTCTTTCCGATAAACAACTTTGACTAAATATATATTTAAAAACATTAATATTTATATTATATAATTAGTATTATTGGAAAGATCTTTAAATCTAATTTTTTTAATAAATTTATTTGAAAATACAAATATTACACATATTTTCTACAAATCGAGTTAAACTTACGGTACATATACCAACGATGAAAATTATTTAGGGACGGAAGGAGTACACCAGACACAAACGACGACGTACGGAGCCTGCTGCAGTTTCCTCGGAGGCGCTTGATTTTATTTTGTTCTCTCTCTAAACAAATGCAATGTCACTAGTGTGTGCAGGCGCGTGTGTGAAAGACTGGAGACGATGTGATTGGTAGCAGCTAGTCCCACACTCCCACTCCCATGGTTGCTTATTAGTGCCGACGTGGACTAGTAGACCCCCGTATAACAGGCAAGTCAGCAACTCCTAGTCCTACGTGGATATGGTGGTTGGTTGTGGACATCAGTGTATAGGTATGGGTCAAACGGCCGGATCGAGCACAAGTCCAAAGCCATGGAACGCTGGCCGATTTGCTCACAAGTTGCTCACTGTCCCCGTGGTCAATCAAAAAGCAGTATGCTTACTTGATCAAGACAAGCAAAGGACATGACATGTCACGTGTTGAGATGACTTGTTGGAAACCATATATAGATCAATAAATAAAATAAAATAAAATAAATCCCAACAAACCGCATGCAACGAAAAATCACTGAACGTATAACGTCTCTTCTTAATTATACGCTACAAAATTATTCTCATCCGGAGTCAAGGAAAACTATATACCCCATATATCCTGAGTTGTTTATACAATTTCATGAAACGCTTGCAACAAATTGCACGTACATTTCAATTTAGAGAGGGCTCACTGGTTCACGGCCACCTCAGAGCACTACAGACCTACAGTAAGTTAGGATTGCAGCGGTCAAGCAGGATTAATGTACAATACAGAATGGTCTCTCTCTCCTATTGTACACACCTTTCAGTATATATTTAACGGTGCACAGCAAAAGAGCATATGCCCTAACAACAAAAACACACGGAAAAATTCGTCACCCACGGGGCAATTCGAGTTTTCAGTAGTGATGTACTCCATATAAGTATATCTGAACCTATAGGAATGGGAACCAAGCGACCAAACTGCGCTGCTAGTCTTAACTGTTCCGTGTGTGCTTGCATGCGTGCATGATGTGTGTATTTATCTTCTTTTATTCCCATTATTATCCCAGTTCCATGCTTTGTGTTTCTTTGGAGACCTTACCAGATCTTTCCGCTTTATATAAACCCTAGAGGCCTGTCATATGCAAACACAGCCAAATCAAGCCAAGTACAAGCAGATCGAGCCTCCAGCAGACTCCTCCTGCCAAGTACGATTCTGCAGCCAGCAAAAGGCATAGCATCAACAGGCTGTGTAAAATTTGCTGTCTTCAAGGTCTTCATGTCGTCTCCCATGGCCACCATAACGGCTAGTGCCACTCCGGGCATGCAAGAAACCAGCAACAAGGCTACGAGCACGTCGCCAGCTCGTACCACTATCGCCTCGCCGGCGCCATTGCGCAACCAGCCGTCGCTCTTGGTCATATTAAGTGCCTGCCTCGTCCTCATGGGCGCCGGCGGACCGCTCCTCCTCCGCGTCTACTTCGTCCACGGGGGGAAGCGCCTGTTTCTGTCCGCCATGATGCAGATCTCCGGGTGGCCACTCCTCCTCCCGCCCATCTGCGTCTCCCTCTACCGGAGCCGGAGCCACGGCGTGGCGAACCTCCTCCTCCCGCCGCGCCTCGCCGGCGCCGCGGCCGTCCTCGGAGCGTTCTTTGCCATCTCCTGCTTCGTCTACTCGCTGGGCTCGCAGGCTCTGCCGCTGTCCACGTCGTCGCTGCTGCTGGCAACGCAGCTCGCCTTCACCGCGGTGTTCGCGTTCCTCTACGTCGGCCTCCGGTTCAGGCCCTTCTCGGCCAACGCCGTCGTGCTGCTCACCGTCGGCCCCGCGGTGCTCGGGGTCGGGCCCGGCTCCGGGAAGCCAGCGGGTGAGGCCTCCAGCACGTACTGAACAGGGTTCTGCGAGGCCATCGCCGCGGCCGCGCTGGCCGGGCTCGTGCTGCCGCTCGTCGAGGTCGCCATGGCGCGCTACGGGCGTCGGACCGGACCCGCGGAGAGAGTGCCTCCCCCGTACACCACCGTGATGCAGATGCAAGCCGTGTTGGGCGCTGCCGGCACACTGGTGTGCCTGCTTGGCATGGTCATCAAGGGCGACTTTCCAAGTGGTGCCAAGTGAGGCCGACACGTTCGGGCTCGGCAAGACCAATTACTACCTGGTGCTCATCTGGGACGCCGTCTCATGGCAGCTGCTGAACCTGGGGGTCATGGGGCTCATCACCTGCGCCTCGTCGCTCCTCGCCGGCATCATGATCGCCGTCCTCCTACCGCTCTCCGAGATCCTCGCTGTCATCTTCCTCCATGAGAAATTCGATGGGCCCAAGGGCATTGCGCTCGTGCTCTCTTTGGGGTTTCGCCTCCTACCTCTACGGTGAGAAGGCACAAAAGATGGAGGCTCAGAAGATCGAGCAGCAGTTGGCTATGAAGACAGACCTGGAATCAGCTGCTCCTTGAGAATCACTCAGCCTGTTCGCTTGTTGGTTTCAGCTAGAGCTTATCAGCCAGTCAACAATGTTTTCCTCTCACAACAAATCAACACCAGCTGGGCTTATCAGCCTAGAAACCAGCGGACAGGCCGACTGAATTTTGTTTTATCTAGAGTTGTGAACATATACAGGTATTGAAACAAGATCTCTTTAGAAGATTGATACAGTTATATACATTTTCTACGACATTGATTCATTCGCAATTGCAAGGTAACAGAGACAAAACTAAGTGCTACGATTGTATCGATTAAAGATTATACAATAAACTCAGCTTGTGTCCTGTCCATGTCCACGTATGCGTGCAATACTAAGCGAAGACAAGTCACAAGTACAACTCTTTCTTGTCCTCTGCAAAAATGATACAGTGTTTATGTGGCTTATAAGCCGGCTGATGCTGTTTTATTGCGAGAGAAAAACACTATATCATAGCTGATAAGCATGACTGATACGAAGCGAACAGGATAAGCATGGCATAAGCTGTGAACAGAGAAGTACAGATGGAAAGAGAGAAGCAAAGATACATTTATACCATACCAGAATTCTTAACTGTGGACGACAAGCGACAAGTGAAGACCATAATGCCATGAGCTTTAGTACGTCTTGACTTGTCACGATAGCCACAAATGGATAAACGTGCACAGTTTAAGATTATATCATCAGTATGACGAAGCAAAAACAATTTGTACAGTATGTTACAGACGTAGGTACAAATCAGATTTAGAAACTACCACCAGAAAAAGTAAAACAGAACCCATACCTGGCGTATCAACAGAACATCGATTTTTTTTTAACAAAACATACAGAAAAACAACCCCTGGTCATCAACTATGCGACATGTTGTGGCATAGTGGCAGAATTGGCTCAGCTACGGCCTTGTTTGGCTGTACTTGTATCCATCTCAATCCATATATATTAGAGTGGAAAATTAGTCACATATGGAATGAGGTGAATATAAGTGCAGTGAAACAAAGCCTAAAGTTTTACCAATATAACTTGATTTATTTCTCCCCCTTTCTTTTCTTGAAGACAAGAGACTTGGTATTTCATCTCCGTGAGAATTTTGATACGAGGTACACTAGAAAGAAGCAGCCAAGGGCAAACAGGACAACATGGACAAGATGATTTGAACCATTCTGAATGATGCTTTGGTTCATTCTCCTCATGTTGTTCTTGACCCCAGCCTGGGCCTTCGACAGAGTCATTTGCTGTGGCACACACACACAAAAAGTTGTGCATTAGACACTATCAGAGGCATATTCCAAGTTTCCAGCACAAGAAACAAAAGAATATGACAGATACATAATCTTTGGTTCTATAGGAAATATTTTATAGAAAAAGGAAAGGAAAAAACAACAGAAAGTTACATTTAAGAATGATGCACCCTGCTAAGCTAGAAAGAATAAGTCGTTACATTCTGATTTGCAATACTAAATAGTCTTTATTATGGTCCATTCCAAAGTATCAACTCACTTGAAATGAACTAATGCCTACAGAACTGTACAATAAACTAGATCCAGAGCAAATCATCATATTTTGAGAAGAGCGCCAGTTGTGGAATCTAGCAGGAGCCAAGGGTCTGTCTTCCTTGACAGCCCCTCTTTTTGGTGGTTAGCTTAGTGCTAGTGTTTGGTCGTCCTTTGCCCTTTTTCAGGGGCGAATAATTCCTGGGGTTGTGTGTGGTGTGTGTTGTAGGGCTCTAGCCCCTTTCTTTCTTCTTAATATAATGAGACGCAGCTCTCCTGCGTTTTCGAAAAAAAAAGTATTTACATCTGAAAAATGACAAATAAACAGGAGCTTAGGCTTCTGATTCAAAATATAGGACACTAAAACACATGTTTCCTTGAACTCCTTTTGTTTTTGGACATAACATGGCTGCATAAGGACAAGATAGTCAACAATAAAAATAGGCTCAAATCAGACTATGTTAGCTTTGAGACGGGTCATACACGGTGCAAATAATCATCAACCTTGACCGCTCAATTTACTAGAGAGGAGACTGGTGAAATGCACTTGGGAAAATGTAACACTAAGAAAATATGGGTCAGTTTGGCCAATTGCAATTAAATGTGCACCAAGGCAATATAACTTAGAAGGAAGTCAGAAATGGAAAATACTATCCTCATAACTAACTACAAATGCAGAATTTTTACAGTCAGCCATTGGGTTTTCTTCAGGATTTGGCACAAACTATTAGGAAAATTAGTAACTTACCAACTGAGATATGAAATCATTTTGATACTTGGCCTCTGTTTGGATCTCTTGAGCAACCTGCATGATAAAACCAATAACTTTTCTTAGAAGAAACTAAATCAATGTCAAACTAAGGTACAGAGAAAAAAAACGAATTAAGTATATCATGCATGGCTCAAATATTCATACGTAGTGTTCCAAATGTGCACTACTGCTCCTTGCTTTCACATCGGTTAAAGTTTAAGAACAAAAATTCAGAGTTTTCAACTAGAGCTTACTCACAAAAAAACCCTACTAAACACTTACTCCTCTCAGCTTGCGGACTTGTCCACGCAGTCCGAGGATATGATCATCCAAATCAGCATTGATTGGGTCAATCTGGAGCGAAATCTCGCTAGAGCTTGATGATGCAGCAGGCCTGATAGTTAGCCCTTCCCTGCAGAATCAAATATTCAGATAAATGTACACGATAGGAACAAAAATATATCACAGAACATAAAAAGTGGGGAGAAATCTTGGACCCACTAGCTCATAGAAACTCCAATATTATTGGTACCTCACTGATAACAATCTGATGAAAACTTTGGAATTGATGCAGTAGATAATAGAATTAACTGATGTGGGAAAACACTGCATATATCCAATCACCATATACATATACATAACAGTTTCTTAATTTGGAGGATTCGGTGTCATGTCAGGGATCGCTTAGCAACTTTAGAGAGGTTAGGATGGAGAGCAGTTCTGTTGAAAAAGACGCTGGATAGCCAAGCTAAATACAAGAGGATGGCACTGGGAGTTTCAACATCAATTAGTGAGACTGGTGCCGTGTTTGGGTCCTAAATCCTAATAAAACTCAAAAAGAAAAAAGGGCCGAAACAACAATAATTGAAGCTTGAGTACAATATCTGCCTTCGAGTAACCCTAAACATCAATTCCTTCTCCCCTGCAGATACTTATGCTACAAACATTACCAACTGTAATGCGAGGCGTTTTAGATGGACCCCGAGAAGAGCATCGACTAAACCTAGCCCAACCTAAACTACAACGGACAGCAGGAATCATGCATACAGAGCCCATGATAAGATCAGGCAGGCCACACCATACCAAACACCGCGAGAAACCAAATCGGAAATACTAGGTCACTAGGATATTGGGGATCACCATCACGGCGCGAACTAATCAAAGGTTAGGGACAAAAGGGGGCGAACCTTGAGCCATAGGAGCTGTTCGCCATGGCGGAACCAGCAGAGGCGAACCTCGAGGACTGTAGCCCAAAGAGTTCGAGATCGGCGGTACCAAGAAACGCAAATTTGCTCGCTCCGCTGCCAAGCAATCCCGCCGGTGGCTTCAGGGAAGATGAAACCGGGCTCCGATGATGGGCCGTTATAATTGGGAACTGGAGGGTGACGTGGGAGATCGGACGGCGGAGGAGTCGCCGGTGACGGTGGCAAACTAAAACGCGTCGATGTGGCCGATGCTCGATGCTTTTGTTGCTTCAAGTTTGAGCAGTCGCGTACTGTCGCATCGCGAAGCTTCCTGCCGTCCTGCTCCTACGCAACCTATCATCGCTTGCTACAGCCGCAAAATGCGGGATTCCCCCCCCCCCCCCCCCCGTTTTTTTGCGTTTTTTCAACTAATTTGTGGGAAATTCTTACCGATTCATGTAAAATTTCTGTGTTTTATTAAGTAGGCTCTATATATGATAATGAGTCCTATGAAATCTCTGTAGTCCAAATATACCATACGCGACACAATTTCCATTTTATCGAACTTGCAGCAATGATTTGAAGACCCCCTCTATTACAAGATATTTGGAGATTTGAAGACTTGTGAGTCACTACTTCAAACAAGTTGCAACCATTGTTTTATCTGTTTAACTTGCTCAGATTGTGAAGAAATTTTAGCCACGTCATTTTCCTAGTTTTTGAGATTGTTCTTACTAGTTTTGAAATAGTGAATAGTGACCCTAGCCTTTGAGATTGTTCTTACTAGTTTGGAAATAGTGAATAGTGACCACAGGTTTATCTGTGTCAAAACAAACATTGGGGAATGTCCAGAAAGATACTTTAAGTGACGACCGCTGATAGCTGCTCCATCTAGAGATCAGGCATGGATACAGGATATACCTCGACATTTCAGCTGATGTCTGTGAGTCTGTCAGCTGGTTACTACATGAAGCAAAATATACTGAAATCAGACATCCTGGCTGCACAGGGCAGGCATAGGATCACAATGCACTGTCACAATTCGAGAATCTGTTTCAGTTGGTACAGTCGGAGGAATTGTCAAACAACAATAACCTATGGTTGTTACTACAGTCTAGCCAGCTCCCTAGTCAGTCTAGACCTGAACTGAGGCCAACTATAAACTGGGACTTGTCACACCTGTTAGTATAGAATACACGTTGCTCAGATCTATAGAAATCACTGAGCACGTAAATAATCGATAAATCAATAATTAAAATACATCTTCTAATCCCAAGTCCGAATTGATCAGTCAAGTGCGTTAAACTTCGGCAATCTGACTGTGGTCGGATTAAAACTCAGAAGAGGCACTCCCATTCTCATTGCTTGAAGCAAATGGACTCATCATAGATGAGAGAATTCATACCAGAGAACTAACATGAAAGGATTCACATCACATATTGAACAACGGTTTTAAGTCGGTACACATCACAGAAGCTGATACCTATGCAAACTAAATCTGGACAACAGTCGAAACTGATAAAAAACAGTATATCACAACTGTAATGTATAAGACATGCTAGTTCCAATCTATGAACATCACTAAGCACGTAAATTCTGAGCCTCCTGAAGTGCTTCCTGCAGATTCTTTACCGCACTGTCGTAGTACACGAAGCCCATAAACCAAAACTCATGGTTATCAACAGAAACCACCTGAATGTATTTCTCTGCTGCATTTGTTCTGCTTGTTGATGAATTAACTGATCGCAGTTGAGCAAAGGGGATGACCACCTATTTTCAGATAGATAAACAAATTGTAAGTTGCACACTCTTGAAATATATGGATTTTGAAATTAATGAGTATAATACAAAGGGCGTACCCAGTGCAGAGAGCTCCCGCTCTGTGCGGGGTCTGGGGAAGGGTGTTAGTAGCAAGCCTTACCCTCGCCTGTGCAATGCGAGGAGACCGCGACTCAAACCCGGGACCTTCCGGTCACAGGCGGTAAGACTCTACCGCTTGCACCAGGCCCGCCCTTCTTAATGAGTATAATACCAGTAAATAAAATTGCCAAAAATTCTCATATTGGTGCACTGATGAAAACAGACTAAACAAATTCTGCAACTTTATTTTTTCAATAAAACAATACAGTGAGATTTATTGTTTCAAGTTAATTATGTAAGTCTGTTTATCATAATGAAATAAGCTTAGTACGAATTGCATTTCCTCGAACAAACTTTATATCTCCTGAAACTAAAGCAAAACACAGCAATCCACATGATTACCTTGTAGTAGCTCCACTCAGTTTTGTCTCCAATCTGGTATGCAAGCGGATTATCACTACAGAATGCCAGTTTTACATTGGACAGGTAAAGCACACCCATAACAGGACCAGCCGAGGTTGACAAATAACATGCATATGGCTTCTTGAGCTTTTCACCGGGGGCAACCTCAAAAGTTTGATGGAAAATTTTATCATATCCACCTTCTGCAATGACTTTAGTGACCTGGGAGATCCTGCTCATTGCTGCATCAGTAATGCTTGGTCCAGTTTTCACTGTTTAAAGAATCAGGAAGATCTGATCAGTTTCTCCACATTGTTAGGATTTGAAGAAACATGGCTATAATCTAGTGCTCCCTCCATTCCAAATTATAAGACATTTTGGCTTTTTTGGATACATAGATTTTGCTATACACTTAGATATACACTATGTCTACATACATAGTTAAAACAATGTATCTAGAAAAGCCAAAACATCTTATAATTTGTTACAGAGTGAGTAGTGTCTAACCACAAACAATACATCAAACAATAACGAAATATATGGAACAAAACTTTTATAGTTATAACAGCAGCAGCATATGAATCCTAATCCCTGTCAATGCCCACCAGAAATCCCGAATTTAGCGCACACTAATGAAATAAGGTGATATTTGAGTCGAATTAGTTGCCCCTCTTTTTGTCTGAGCCCATGAAGAGGGATTCCAGTTCAATTTCATTTTGTGGCTAAGCAACAGTACAGCTTAACGACAACCTAACTCCATACTACAATAACAAAATGTTCTTGAAAATGCACAACACGATTAGCAATTTGATGGAAAACACACAGCAACAGCTTGGGAACCCGATTTTGTGAAAAGACGGCAATGGAATCGAAGCTCACAGTGCTGCCAGAAGTTGCCGGTGATGGTCTCGGTCTTGCGGGCCGCCTCGCCGAACCTCTTCCCCATCTTGCCGAGCACGTCCTTCACGGAGTCCATCGTATCTGCAAAACCACGCCACACGAGAGCATCCCAGAAAAAAAATAAGGAACGATCCAAATTTCGGACGAATCGGCAGCTAACAGGGGCCAGATTTTAAGGCGCGGGGCGGGGGGACGCACTCTTCGGGGCGGTGGCGGCGCCGCCGGCGGGGGAGGAGATGTAGGGGTTGCCTCCGTAGGCGGACGGCGCGGCGGTGGCAGCGTGATAAGGCGGGGGTGGAGGCGGGGCCACCTCCTCCGGGGAGAGCCTCGGGTACGGCGCGTACTCCGGGGCTGCCGCGGCGTGGCCTCCGCCGATGGACGCGGCTGCTGCGGGCGGATTCATGTCGCCGGCGAGGGCGGTGCGGTGCCGCTGGCGATGGGGTCGATGTCCGTAGTTCGTACGTTTCGTGGACGAGATGACAGGGCTGCAGGTTTCGGTTGTGGAATTTTATTTCGGGTCTGCCACTCTGCCGTCTGCCGAAGCCAGAATATATAGTTGTCCTTTTTCCTGCAAAAAGAAAATAACGCGGTGGAGTCGTGGCTAAGCACAATGCACAGCGCTTCAAAGTTCATCAGGCTCGCCTTGACCAGCCAAATATGCTTAGCCACGAAGGTGTTTTCGTTTTTTATTTTCGCGTCGGCGCAATTGAATATGCAACCGCTCCTTGAGTGTTGAAAACTCGAAATCCCAAGGCGCGTGATGACGCGTCACGGATTCCAAAGGGCGCGTTAACGCTATGTTAGGGACCCACCTGTCGGTCTTCCAGGTGAGCTCACGGGCCCCACAAGGGATTCCTCTTGCCAACGGTTCTATTCCGGGCTCTCGACTCCACCCATGGATCTCGAAGGTTCCGACCCCACCCGATCGGGCTAAACGGCGCGTGGAGACGTGGGGCCTAAGTCAAAATACTGTTCTGACTGATTATTGTGAGAGAAAAATATTATTCTATCTGAAATCACTGTTTATGTGCACAGTGATTTCGTGAGTGCGCTGACCGGCCAGCCGAACGCGCCCGTGGACGGTGGACCCTACTTTTTCGTGAGGAAAAAGTCTACCTCAAATTTAAGAGGTGTTGGGTTGCTTCTCTTCAACTTTAGTCGTTGTCCCATCGAATGTTTGACATATGTATGGAGTATTAAATGTAGACTAATTACAAAACTAAATGAACAGATTGAGACTATTTTGCAAGATGAATTTTTTAAGCATAATTAATCGATAATTTGATAATGTGGTGCTACAATAAATATATACTAATGATAAATTAATTATGCTAAATAAAATCGTCTCGTGGATTACTGATGAATTTTGTAATTTATTTTTTAATAGTATCAAACTTTCCATGTAACATCTCCAAAACTTTAGTCACTGAATCCAAACGAGAAAAATGAAAAGAAAAAAAGTGGAACCGTACACAGGCAGGTGGGCCCATCCATAGCCGTAGAGAAGACAACTAGCCTGTTCGCTTGGTCGTACGTGGTTTATAAGTCATGGCTTATTAGTCAACGAACAATATTTTTCTCTCACACTAAACCAGCCAACAATACTTTCAGCCATGAATTATAAGTCAAATCAGTCCAAACGAACAAGCGAACGTCGACCAAAAATAGGAAATCCACCATCCGAATAAAAAAAGGGACGGAGGGATAATCTCTACAACTAAAATATATGGATTGTCAACATCTACCCGGCAGAACTAAAACACTCATGCGATCCATATTTGGCAGGCAAATAATCACCGCATCTCATGCGATCCATATCCGACAGATAAATAATCACCGCATGGAGACACTGGAAGATAAGTAAATAAAATAGAATAAAACTCACGGAATCACCGGCTGACAAATAATTACCGCATGGAGACACTGGAAGACAAGTAAATAAAATGAAATAAAACAGAAAGAGAATTATGGGAAGAGAAAGGAATTTATTGGAATATCACCACGTAATGATCATGATCGTGATCCAAATCTCGTTCGTCGTCCTTCGCGTTGCGTGTTGACAATAAATATTTTTTTTCCTAAAAAATGAATTATTGCCATGCCTCATGCGGGTTAGGATATTGTAAGTCCGAGTATACATATTTTGGCAAGGCAGAGCATGGATAAATTCAATTCGATGCCTAGCAGTAAATTTTTAGCCTTTGAGGTAACTGATGTTTGTCGTAACTTTCAGACAACAAGCTCTAAGCCTAGCTTTTATTTCAGATTCATTACGATAATGAATGTGTTTCTAGACATTATCGTGGTATAATACACATGAAAAATTGAATTGATATATTTTTATTTTGACTTGGCTAACAAACATCTCATTCAATTTATGTTGCACCCATTGCAACGCACGGGCACTCATCTATGTGGAAAAAAATCCGGATGACAGGTGGGTCCCACAAAACAATAGTTAACGGCGTCAAATCCATCATCCATCACATTCCTATTTATCCCTTCAACCAAATATAAAATGAATCAATTCTGTCTCTCGTCGTCCAACAGAAAAATAAAACCGTCCCATCTCCATCTCATTCCATAAATTAAAGACAGGACCCTCTCATCCCCTTGACTCTCAACCAAATAATACCTTATAGGCTCGCGAGGTGTTCGAGCGAGCGGCACCATACAGGCATGTGGGCATCTCGTCACCGAGCACCAGCAGCCGGCTGCAGGCAAGCCGCTGGGCATGTGCTTCAGCTTCCCAGTCTCATGGCTCATGTGAGCAAGCAAGCTCTTTCTAAATCTCACGTTTCTAAACTTGCTTTATTTCTCTCATACATAATGCGATCTGATAGAAAGTTTCACGGCACTGTTGTCAACTACAAAGTTACAAATATAAAATCTACACGTGCAGAACGAAAAGGCTCGATGTCAGGGTCATACTCGATCTGCAACAAAAAAATTTTGGAATATGCGTGAAATATTTTGAATACGATGAAAAAGCATAAATGCAATTGGAAATAGTTTAGGTTTCCAACGCAAAATTGTTTAATAGTTTTTTATTGTTTTCGCAAAATGATCAAATCCTTCGTGTAGATGTGGACAAAATTCGTGGCCACCATGCAACGCACGGACACATAGTGTAACACCTCGGTGTTACGAGCTCGTCTGGCACCGCGATTTAGACCTAATAAAATTTACTGAAACGATTTTCTCAGATTTTAAAATTTTAACTTATGTTTAAAATATCCGATAACGATTCTAGCAAGTAAATGGCGAATGGCTTATTCGGTTGGATTAAGCATGAAAACAATTTTTGTTACAAAATAAAATATCACTTGTAATTAGAACTTAAATAAAAATTGGGAGTTAATCGTGTTAAAACTTAAAATAAAATAAATAGGAATGAGAGTGTTAGGTGGAGAAAATATTTTTTATACATACCCTGCTATGAATCAGTCATTTGATTTATGGCGTCGTGTCGTGTTGCTCTGTGTCTAATTGTCCTCGTCTGCCTCCGTTGTCCCGTCGCGCTCTTGTCATTGTCGCAGCTCTGTGGTCTGCCTCAGTGTTCTGCCAAGCCGAGCCGTCTCGTCCTTGCTTCTGCTGTCTCGGTCTGACTCTGTTTCTCTGCTCCCTTTTTTCTTTCTTTACCACCAGAGCATAGCACGCAAATCCTTGTCGTGTACGCCGTCAACGCAGCCATCGCCTCAACGCCATCGCCAACCGTGGTTTCACGCTGTGTAGCCCCGGCAGCCCACGCCCTGGCCTCGTGCGCCTGTCTGCCTCTGTCTCCGATTTCTCTTCCGAGCCGAGCACTAGTTTTGGCTGAGTCCGTCGTCGTCGGTTTCCCCAGCGCTCCTCCTCCTTCCTTTTCCTTTTCTGCTGCCGATGGGAGGAGACCCCACCCTGCTCGCTCTCCTCACTTGCCCTCTCGCTCGGCTCCTCTCGCTACGGGGGCTCGTTCGCGGGGAGGGCCGGTACCGGCGATGTGAGGCGAGGTGCTGTGGAGGCTCGCTCGCAAATGTGCCGTCGCCGGACCGCGTGGGCCGGTTTGCTGGGCTGCGGCCTGCCTGGCGTTGGGTCGTCCGCGCCTTTGTTGCTGGCCGCCTGGGCCATTCACGGCTACGTGGGCCCCGGGCCGCGCGCCAGCCTGGGCCTCTGGCCGGCATGCTCCCTGCGCTGGGCCCGCCTGCTCGCCTCTGCGCCTGGGCCGCTTGCGCCACGCGCCGCGCCCCGCCTAGGCCGGCCTGCTCCCTGGCTGGGCCGCGCCTGGTCGATGGGGCCACGCCGCAAGTCCGCTGGGCCGCGTCTGGTTGCAGGCCGCGCGCACGGCTGTTGGGCCAGTTAGTGCCGCCGGCCCTCTGCCATTTTTTATGGTATTTTTCTAATCAAATGCTGAATCAGATTTGTAAAATCAACATAAAATTGTGTAGGTATCCAAAAATGGTAAAACCAGCTTTGTTAGTCTACTAAAATCATGATTTACCTGTTAGTACATTTTGTTCACATAGTTTGATAATATTCTTAAAAGCCATATAATTAATTTAAGGTATTTAATATTATAAAAATATAAACTTGTAGGAATGGTTGTGATAAATTGGTCTGAAATTTGTACAGTAGGCTCCTAGCAATATTAGGTACTCACTGTAATTTTTGTAGCTCCGGAATAATTAGTTGTTAAATAGATAATGAAGCCCTATTCTGAATAAAGATTAAATGGATAGAATGGGATAAAGAAACAACTTGGGTTTGTATAACTAGAATAATTGTTGGGAAGTAACGCCTTATTCGATAATATGGATATGTAGACCCGCGTTAGAGCCCGCGTTAGAGCTATCGCGTTAGCTTGTGAGGTGTTATCGGATTTCTAAGCGTTTCGGCTATCGTTGGTTATTTATATCTATGCATTTGCATCAATGCATATCATATAGGTACGATGATGGATCAACGGATCAATTAAAGGACGATTGGATATCCGAAGATGGTATAATGGTATTTTCTCTAGGAGATGATACAATGGACTTTCTATTCAGATGATGGTGGATGATCTGAAGATACATATACTAACTTTTAATATATATATCTTACCCAGGCAAGACCCGGTGCATAACCCATACTTTTCTGCAGTTTAAATTATATTTGTGCATTAAGTTTTAAGGAGTTGAATGAAACCCACTTGCATATATATCTTTATCCTATGAGTCTTACTAGTATGACAGGATCGTATAGAATGCTATGCTCTAGGACTCTGGTAGAAGTCGAGTGATTGCCTGTCACTCACGAGATATAGGAAATATATTACTGCGTTATTATCACTTGGAAAATATAAATGGTGGAAATGATAAATGGTGACCGGACAGGGATATGGTTTGGGGTATTGGTGGGTGTAAGAGGTTGTGTCGCCGTGGACGC